TGACACCCAGCTGGAGCACCAAGACCCTGTCAGCCACACAGCTCAGAAGAAAAGGGAGAAAAAGAAAGAAAAAGTTATTAAAATAAAAAATTTTTAATTTTTAAAAATAAAAAGAATTAAAAAGTAATTTTAAAAAAGGGGAAAGAAAGAATAGAGCAACCAAACCAAAAAACAAATCCCCCAATTATACCAAGTGCTCAAAACCATACTAGACAGACAGAACAGTAGGACAAATGGTAAAGCAAAGCTATACAGACAAAATCACACAAAGAAGCACACACATACACACTCACAAAAAGAGAAAAAGGAAAAAAAAGGAAGAGAGCAACCAAATCAATAAAAAATCTACCAGTGGGCTTCCCTGGTGACGCAGTGGTTGACAGTCCGCCTGCTGATGCAGGGGACACGGGTTCGTGTCCTGGTCTGGGAAGATCCCACATGCCGCGGAGCGGCTGGGCCCATGAGCCATGGCCGCTGAGCCTGCCCGTCTGGAGCCTGTGCTCCGCAATGGGAGAGACCACAACAGTGAGAGGCCCACGTACCGCAAAAAAAAAAAAAAACAAACAAAAAACTACCAGTGATAACAAGCTCTAAACACTAAACTAAGATAAACATAAAACCAGACCCAAGTCTACAGTTGCTCCCAAAGTCCACCTTCTCATCAATTTGGGATGATTCGTTGTCTATTCAGGTATTCCACAGATGCAGGTACATCACGTTGATGGTGGACATTTAATCCGCTGCTCCTGAGGCTGCTGGGAGAGATTTCCCTTTCTCTTCCTTGTTCGCACAGCTCCTGGGTTTCGGCTTTGGATTTGGCCCCGCCTCTGCGTGTAGGTCGCTGGAGGGCGTCTGTTCCTCGCTCAGACAGGCTGGGGTTAAAGGAGCCGCTGACTCGGGGGCTCTGGCGCACTCAGGCCGGGGAGAGGGAGGGGCACGGAGTGCGGGGCGGGCCTGCGGCGGCAGAGGCCGGCGTGACGTTGCACCAGCCTGAGGCGCGCCGTGCGGTCTCCCGGGGGAGTTGTCCCTGGATCCCGGGACCCTGGCAGTGGCGGGCTGCACAGGCTCCCCGGGAGGGGGGTGTGGAGAGTGACCTGTGCTCGCACACGGGCTTCTCGGTGGCGGCAGCAGCGGCCTTAGCGTCTCATGCCCGTCTCTGGGGTCCGCGCTGTCAGCCGCGGCTCGCGCCCCCCCCTGGGGCTC